TTAAACCTAAAATTAAGTCATATGCTGGTGTTCTTTCTTTCCTTGGATAAAACATACTGATGAAATTGAACTGGAAGAAAATGCAGATGCAAAAGATATAAAAGGCTGAGAAACACCGTCTTCTTCATCAATATAGTCCTTGCTTAACGACCCTCATTGGGATGAAAACTGCCAGCACAGAATGAAGCAGTTGTTTGGCAAAACATCATATGGTATGACCACGTTTAGTGATGCCAGTTCCTGTAGTGCTAGTTGCGGTCAGTAGGTGAGGACTGCAGCATCATTAGGCAAGGATCTCACACTTCTGCCCTGTTGCATTTGCCTCTGCTTCAACACCTCCCATTTGCCTATCTCCCCCCCCCTTTCCCCTTTTGGCCTACACTCTGCTACTGCCTATCCTTGTCACCCCCACCCCCAGACCTTCACGGCCTTTCTTCTGCAGCTAATAAGAGGCATCCAACTGAGGCAGCCGCTGGCCCTTTATGAAGTCTTGCAGCATCCCCACCTTCTCTTGGTCCCACTGTCCACACTCCCTAGCACCCACTCGCAGCACCTATGACCTGCCCGTGCTTCTGATTTGAGATTGCCACCTTTTCCCACTTAACAACCCATGTGGTCCTAGGGTTACAGCATCAACTGGGACTGCCATTGCTAAGTGATGCAATCATATGATATCATGGTTTATGACTGCATCTAAAGGGCACCAGATCGGAAATGATTAGTGTATAGATTTGTTCCCCAAGATGTGAAAACAAAGAAAGCAATCAGGAACTCAGAGCACTGTCTTTGTAAAATGAGCTCTGGATCTACAGATCTCTCTAATCTTTCAAAATTTGGCATAACCTAGAAATTCTTTTGATGTACAGTTGCAAGAAAAAGTATGTGAACCCCTTGGGATAATGCGGAGTTTTGCATGAATTGGTCATAAAATGTGCTCTGAACGTCATCTAAGTCACAACAATAGAAAAACACAGTCTGCTGAAAATAATAATACACAAACATTACATGTTGCCATGGTTTAATTGAACATAACATGTAAACATTCACAGTGCAGGAAGGAAAAAGTATGTGAACCGTTGGACTTAATAACTGGTTGGCCCTCCTTTGGCAGCAATAACCTCAACCAAACGTTTCCTGTAGTTGCAGATCAGACCTGCACAACGATCTGGAGTAATTTTGGACCACTCCTCTTCACAAAACTGTTTCAGTGTAGCAATATTCTTGGGATGTCTGGTGTGAATCGCTCTTAAGGTCATGCCACAACATTTCAATCGGGTTGAGGTCAGGACTGTGACT